TCTTTCCCACCATTTGTAAACGCTGTAACTTTCACGTAAACCAATTAATTTACACGTATTGGGTTTTTTTTTTAGCAAAGACATGTCGCAGAATGCATTTTGGCCGAAATTTATGACGAAATTTGATTTTTACAATTTTTTTTACTGGACATGTTTTATAGCAAAAAGTCCAAAATATTGTTTTTTTTTCCTCAAAATTGTCAGCATTTTTTTTTTTATAGCGCAAAAAATAAAAAAAAAGCGCACAGGCGATCAAATACCACTGAAAGAAAGCTCAATTTGTGGGAAAAAAAAAGGATGTAAATTTCATTTATGTACCGTATTGCATGACCGCGCAATTGTCCGTTAAACTAGCGCAGCGCTGTATAGCAGAAAAATGGTGTAAATTGCAGTATCTATACCATAGTTTGTAGACGCTATAACTTCACACAAAGCAATCAATATACACTTATTGGGGTTTTTTTTTTACCAAAAACATGGAGCAGAATACATTTTGGCCTAAATTTATAACTAACTTTGAGTTTACTATATATTATTTATAGCTGAAAGTAAAAAATATTGTTTTTCTTTAAAATTTTTGGAAATCTTTTGTTTATAGCGTGAAAAATAAAAGGCGCACAGGTGATCAAATACCACCGAAAGAAAGCTCTATTTGTGTGAAAAAAGGAGGTAAATTTCGTTTGGGTGCAGGATTGCATGACCGTGCAATTATCAGTTGAATTAGTGCAGCGCCGAGTAGCAAAAAGAGGCGTGGTCATTAAGGGGGGTAAATCCTCAGGAGGGCGAGGGGTTAAGTCGTTCAATCCACATAGTTTCTTTACGTGGTACTTTTTGATCCCAATTACCACCACGTGGGTCCCTGGCAACCACCTCCAAGACCGTAAATTTTAGCTGTGAAGTATCAAATTTATGATAAAGAAAATTGGTGGCTATTTTTGGTCTTGTTCTCCTTTGGACTGAATGTACATGACATTTTAGCAATTATTAGGGATTCGTCCTCTTTTGGTGACCTTATTGCTATTTTGTAAGACATGTGGGCTTTAAATACGTAGATAATCTTCCCAGAAATATATTATGATATACTGTGTTTCCATGAATCCTTTCTATTCTCTAATTCCCATAAATCTTTATGGTTTTGTATATTCCTTTGGGTCACCATCGTAATGTAGTGACTATATTGTGGGGATCATTATAACTGTGTATGATACTTCCCCTACTCATATAGCCCAGTCCTGATACAACCGATGTCCTCTTTGTGAACTTTATTATCATGTTGACTCTATTTATAATGTTGGATATTATGCTGTTGCAGCATTAATGATGTATAAATTGTGAATTTGTATATGGATATGCATCCTGCTGCTGTTTCCCCCTATGGTCTCTGGGGGTTGGACCTGCTGTTGCACATTTGTGGTTCACTGGGCCCGGGCCATCGTTTGGGCCCGAAATGCGGCCGGGTGACTGCGGTATCCTTTGTGGCCCTCCTGCTACAGGCCGGACTTCCGCGGCTGGGTAGGGACATTCCGTCCCTTCCCATGCACCGGTGCATGCCAAGCCCCCTGAGCAGTGATGTTTTGGGGCTGTCGCTGGGCAACACAGACTTTCAACTCCCTCCAAAGGTTTTCTATGGGGTTGAGATCTGGAGACTGGCTAGGCGACTCCAGGACCTTGAAATGCTTCTTACGAAGCCACTTCTTCGTTACCCGGCGGTATGTTTGGGATCATTGTCATGTTGGAAGACCCAGCCACGTTTCATCTTCAATGCCCTTGCTGATGGAAGGAGGTTTGCACTCAAAAATCTCACGATACATGGCCCCATTCATTCTGTCCTGTACATGGATCAGTCGTCCTGGTCCCTTTGCGGAGAAACAGCCCCAAAGCATGATGTTGCCACCCCCATGCTTCACAGTAGGTATGGTGTTCTTTGGATGCAACTCAGCATTCTCTCTCCTCCAAACACGACGAGTTGTGTTTCTACCAAACAGTTCTATTTTGGTTTCATCTGACCATATGACATTCTCCCAATCCTCTTCTGGATCATCCAAATGCTCTCTAGCAAACTTCAGACGGGCCGGACATGTACTGGCTTAAGCAGGGGGACACGTCTGGCACTGCAGGATCTGAGTCCCTGGCGGCGTAGTGTGTTACTGATGGTAGCCTTTGTTACGTTGGTCCCAGCTCTCTGCAGGTCATTCACTAGGTCCCCCCCGTGTGGTCCTGGGATTTTTGCTCACCGTTCTTGTGATCATTTTGACCCCACGGGGTGAGATCTTGCGTGGAGCCCCAGATCGAGGGAGATTATTAGTGGTCTTGTATGTCTTCCATTTTCTAATTATTGCTCCCACAGTTGATTTGTTCACACCAAGCTGCTTGCCTATTGCAGATTCAGTCTTCCCAGCCTGGTGCAGGTCTACAATTTTGTTTCTGGTGTCCTTCGACAGCTCTTTGGTCTTCACCATAGTGGAGTTTGGAGTGTGACTGTTTGAGGTTGTGGACAGGTGTCTTTTATACCATTGATACAGGTAATGAGTGCAGGACAGAGGAGCCTCTTAAAGAAGAAGGTGCAGGTCTGTGAGAGCCAGAAATCTTGCTTGTTTGTAGGTGACCAAATACTTATTTTCCACCATAATTTGCAAATAAATTCTCTCCAGATCAGCCAATGTGATTGTCTGGATTTGTTTTCTCATTTTGTCTCTCATAGTTGAGGTCTCCCTATGATGCCAATTACAGGCCTCTCTCATCTTTGTAAGTGGGAGAACTTGCACTGCTTTTAATCACGTTGGTTTGTGAGTATACATGCTTTTTCATTTATTATTATTATTACATTGAGTTTATATAGCACCAAAGGGTTTGCTCAGCGCTGTACAATAGGGGGGACAATACATGAAACAGTACAACAACAACAAACAGCTCACAAGGGGTTAGAGGGCTCTACTATTTCGAGCTTACAATCTAGGAGGGAGGGGGTAGAGGTACAGGAGGAAATGGCTGTGGGGGGATGGGGTGGTAGGAGGAATGAAGGAGATCGGCTGTTAGGTGAGGGTGGGGTAGGCTTCCCTGAAGAGGTGGGTTTTCAGGGAGCGCCTGAAGGTGAGGAGGGAAGGCGACAATCTGATGGATTGGGGTAGTGAGTTCCAGAGGATGGGGGAGGACCTGGAGAAGTCTTGCAGTCGTGCGTGGGAGGAGGAGACCAGGGAGCAGGATAGAAGGAGGTCCTGTGAAGAGCGAAGGGTACGGGTAGGGTGGTACTTGGGGATCAGGTTGGTGAGGTAGTCAGGGGCAGTGTTGTGAACGGCTTTGTAGGTCAGAGTGAGTAGTTTGAATTTGATGCGTTGGGCAATCAGGAGCCAGTGGAGGGAGAGGCAGAGGGGGGGTGGCAGAGGTGGAGCGGGTGGTGAGGTGGATGAGTCTGGCCGCTGAGTTCAGGATGGTCTGGAGCGGGGAGAGCCTGCACTGGGGTAGGCCGGTGAGGAGGGAGTTGCAGTAGTCCAGGCGTGAGATAATCAGGGAGTGTACGAGTAGATTAGTGGTGTCTGGGGTGAGGAAGGAGCGAATCTTGGCGATGTTGCGGAGGTGGAGCCTGCATGTGTTTGTGAGTGATTTGACATGAGGTTGGAAGGAGGTTGGAAGGAGAGGTTTGAGTCCAGAATGACTCCAAGGACCTTGGCTTGCTTAAATATGTGTTTCACCACGGTAATGCACAATGGGACTGCGCCCTTGTTTGTTGTTTTCCACCAGTGGTCAGATTTCCCGATCTTAGAAGGGCAGCACCTCTTCGGTTGGCATTTTGGCATTTCCTTGGTTTGCATAAAGATTGGAGCGCTGGTTTTGTTTGTTTATCTTTTGGAGTGTACAATTGGTGGCTGACTAAATACTTTTTTTGCCCCACTGTACGCTGAGAGACGCATAAGATATTAACTACTTGCCGACCGCAGATAGCCGAATGACGGCTACACTACGGCCGGCCAGTTCTGGGTGGGCGTCGTATGACATCCTCCCAGAACGCGCTCTCCTGCGCACCCCCGGGGGCATGCACCCGGCGATCTCCGTGACCGCTGTGTCCTACGGACACAGCTGATCACATGATGTGGTAAAAGGCCAATCACAGCGGCCTTTGACCACGTGATCAGCCGTGTCCAATGACACGCTGATCACCGGGAAATGCAATTGCCGGTTCTCGGCTGCACTTTTCTCACGCTGTCAGATTTTGTTTATAGCGCAAAAAGTAAAGTGCCCAGTGGCGATTAAATACCACCAAAAGAAAGCTCTATTTGTGAGAAAAAAATTATAAAAATTTCATATGGGTACAATCTTGCATGACCGCGCAATTGTCATTCAAAGTGTGTCAGCGCTGAAAGCTGAAAATTGGCCTGGGCAGGAAGGGGGTAGAAGTGCCCTGTAGGCAGGAAGGGGGTAGAAGTGCCCTGTAGGCAGGAAGGGGGTAGAAGTGTCCTGTAGGCAGGAAGGGGGTAGAAGTGTCCTGTAGGCAGGAAGGGGGTAGAAGCGCCCGGTAGGCAGGAAGGGGGTAGAAGTGTCCTGTAGGCAGGAAGGGGGTAGAAGTGCCCGGTAGGCAGGAAGGAGGTAGAAGTGCCCTGTAGGCAGGAAGGGGGTAGAAGTGTCCGGTAGACAGGAAGGGGGTAGAAGTGCCCGGTGGGCAGGAAGGGGGTAGAAGTGCCCTGTAGGCAGGAAGGGGGTAGAAGTGCCCGGTAGGCAGGAAGGGGGTAGAAGTGCCCTGTAGGCAGGAAGGGGGTAGAAGTGTCCCGTGGGCAGGAAGGGGGTAGAAGTGTCCCGTGGGCAGGAAGGGGGTAGAAGTGCCCTGTGGGCAGCAAGGGGGTAGAAGTGTCCTGTAGGCAGGAAGGGGGTAGAAGTGTCCTGTGGGCAGGAAGGGTGTAAAAGTGTCCTGTGGGCAGGAAGGGGGTAAAAGCGCCCTGTGGGCAGGAAGGGGGTAGAAGCGTCCTGTGGGCAGGAAGGGGGTAGAAGCGCCCTGTGGGCAGGAAGGGGGTAGAAGTGCCCGGTGGGCAGGAAGGGGGTAGAAGTGCCCTGTGGGCAGGAAGGGGGTAGAAGTGCCCTGTAGGCAGGAAGGGGGTAGAAGTGCCCTGTAGGCAGGAAGGGGGTAGAAGTTCCCTGTAGGCAGGAAGGGGGTAGAAGTGCCCGGTAGACAGGAAGGGGGTAGAAATGTCCTGTAGGCAGGAAGGGGCTAGAAGTGCCCGGTGGGCAGGAAGGGGGTAGAAGTGTCCTGTAGGCAGGAAGGGGGTAGAAGTGCCCGGTGGGCAGGAAGGGGGTAGAAGTGTCCTGTAGGCAGGAAGGGGGTAGAAGTGCCCGGTAGGCAAGTGGTTAAACTGTCTTTATTTATATTTTTACCCTTAGACCTGCCTCCTGGTGAAAGATTGAGGTTGGGCCAACAGTTTTGTGATACCCCCATATAATTGACGGGCAGGCCCAGGTGTATTATCCTGCCGCATTATCGTGACTGGGAGCAGGGGCGGACTGACAACTCATGGGGCCCCCAGGCAATAGGGGATGATGGACCCCTGTGTCCTTGCCGAAACTTAAAAAAGCCTATGAAAAAGGTACCAGGGGCATCTCATTGGGCCCCCTACTGACCCCGGGCCCTCGGGCAGTGCCTGAGTTTCCAAATGGTCAGTCCGCCCCTGACTGGGGGTCATCTTCTCCTAGCTGGTATGTCATTATAGTTGGTGATATTATACAAGTGACTACTTGGGGGGTTAGTTATCCATCCTACAGAGATGTTTTTTCAACATTTTCAGCTTTTGAATATCTGAGGTGATCTCCCTCCTTTTCCTTTGGCAATTGTTGCTTCCTGGGAGGATTGGATCTTTTTCCTGAGGAAATGCTTGACTTGTGCAAGAATGCAGCCAGAGAGAAGGAGAAATGATTCCTCTTACAGCCTTTATGGGTGTAAAAGCAATCAGTATACAAAAAAAAAAAAAAAAAAATCTTCATCACCCCCCACAAGTAGTACAGTGTCACCATGGTGACACTGTACTGCTAGGTGACAGTATGTAAAAAACAAAAACAAACATAAATAATAATATAAAAAAATAAAATAAAATGTAAAAATAAATTTAGAAAAATTATCATTTTTGGTTATAAACTAATTTGGGTTATTGAATGGACACCGGAAATAGTGAGAGATTGGGGACATGCTACATGAGACACAGACTGATCACAGGGGAAAATCACAAATTGATGACATTCTGCAGGAAACTGTCAGAGACTTGGGTCATACTATATGAGTCAGAGACTGGGTGCAGGGGACAGTCAGAGATTGGGAACTGCCAGAGTCTGGATATGAACCAGTGTCCTCTGCAGGGTCTGGCTGTTGCTGTTCTCGCTGTGCCACCTGAGATGCTGGTCAGCTCCCTGTTTGATCCCTTAGGACATTCTTGCTTTGTACCTTGCTTCTTGTGAACCTTGAACTCCTCCCATGAACTTCTTATTTAACCCCTCGCCCTCCAGAGGATTCCCCCACCCACTTCCTGACCAGACCATTTTTTGCGTTTAAGGCGCTGCATTACTTTAACTGACAATTGCGCGGTCATGCAACGCCGCACCCAAATGAAATTTATGTCCTTTTTTTTCCACGGCTTGAGCTTTCTTTCGGTGGTATTTGATCACCTCTGCGTTTTTTATTTTTTGCACTATACAAAAAAAAAAAAACCGACAATTTTGAGAAAAAAAATAATATTTTTGACCTTTTTGCTATTTAGCATGTGCAGTAAAAAAATTTTAAAAATCAAATTTCGTCATAAATTTAGGTCAAAATGTATTCTGCTCCGTGTCTTTGCTAAAATAAATCCCAATACGTGTAAATTAATTGGTTTATGTGAAAGTTATGGCGTTTACAAATGGCGGTATATATACTGAGATTTTTGTTTGTAATTTTTACTAGTAATCAGAGACTAATAGGGGGACTGCGGCGGACATGCTGACACTTGGTGGGGGGGGGGGGAACTGACTTGGTGTCACTGACATCCCAGTGACACCAATACAGTGACCAATGCTACAAAAAAGCACTGACACTGTACTAATGGCACTGGGCAGGAAGGGGTTAACATGAGGGGCGATCAAAGGGTTAGCTGTGTGCTGGGAGTGTTTTATTAGGGGGTGGGGTCTGTGTGCTTCACTGTAATCACACTGCTCTGGATGGCTGTGCTGTGCAGTGTGCCCAAGCAGACAGGACGGAGGACTGTTAGTAAACAAAACAGTCCTCCTCCCTGTCAGTGATCTTCGGAAATCACCGGGCGTCAGCGAGTAATTACCAGCCGGGGCCTGGTGATCGACAGTCACGGCAGCGAATGGCGGCGCGGGTAGGGCATGCGTGTGGCTCATGCGCTTCCCTACCCGGAAATGCAATATCACGTGTATATATATATGTGATTTTGTGCACCCATGCCACCCTGTAGCAGTATTTCTGCTATAGGGCGGACGGGAAGCGGTTAAGCCATGCTTTTGCACCTCCTGTTTGCCAGATTTTTGTGCTCTCTCCCGGCCGATAACTTCATCCTTTGCGTACCTGCAGCTGTCCTCATCTTCATTGCCATACGTTACTAGCCTTTGGTTCCTCGGCTACACTTGATCCCAACCTGCAACTACTTGTTACCAACCTTCGGCTTGTTTATTGACTATACTTCTGCTTGATCCCTGCCTGCTATATCTGCTTCTGGACCCCGGCTAGCTCCTGGTGGGGCCATCCTAAAGACTGCGACCTGGTACTCACATGCAGCAAAGCCCATCTCCACCATCAGGAGTTCTGGTGAACACCGATTAACGCTTTGACCCCCATGCCTTGGGTGAGCTTGTGTCATGCACCAGGGTGACCTGCTTGTGCACTTGTCCTGCTGATCAGTGGGAGCCTCTCTACTGCTATACAGTCATGGCCAAGAATATTGTCCCCCCCCCATTTTTCTGTAAGATAATGCACCACTTTTGCCCAGAAAATTGTTGCAATTACAAATGTTTCGGCATTCTCATGTTTATTTCTTTGGTTTTTATTGGTATGACACAAAAAAATTGGAGAAACAAAAAGCCAAATCCATCACATTTCACGCATAACCCTAAAAATGGACTGGACAAAATTATTGGCACCTTCTCAAAATTGTAAGAAATAGTTGCATTCCAAGTTTTTGATGCTCTTGTAATTTGTAATAAAACTCACCTGTATCAATTACCAGATCTTAATGTTCCTGTGTCCACTGTGTGCAACATTGTCAAGAAGTTTACAGCCCATGGCACTGGAGATAATCTCCCTGGGCGTGGACGAAAGAGAAAAATTGATCAAAGATTGCAATGAAGGATTGTTAGAATGGTGGATAAAGAACCCCCATCAACTTCCAGACAAATCCAAGCTGACCTTCAGGTACAGGATACAACTGTGTCAGCTCGTACTATATGTCACCATCTGAATGAAAAGGGATGCTATGGTAGGAGACCCAGGAGGAGCCCACTGCTGACACAGAAATATGGTGGGAGACCCAGGAGGACCCCACTGCTGGCACAGAAATATGGTAGGAGACCCAGGAGGACCCCACTGCTGACACAGAAATATGGTAGGAGACCCAGGAGGACCCAAATGCTGACACAGAAATATGGTAAGAGACCCAGGAGGACCCCACTGCTGACACAGAAACATGGGAGGAGACCCAGGAGGACCCCACTGCTGACACAGAAATATGGTAGGAGACCCAGGAGGACCCCACTGCTGACACAGAAATATGGTAGGAGACCCAGGAGGACCCCACTGCTGGCACAGAAATATGGTAGGAGACCCAGGAGGACCCCACTGCTGACACAGAAATATGGTAGGAGACCCAGGAGGACCCAAATGCTGACACAGAAATATGGTAAGAGACCCAGGAGGACCCCACTGCTGACACAGAAACATGGGAGGAGACCCAGGAGGACCCCACTGCTGACACAGAAATATGGTAGGAGACCCAGGAGGACCCCACTGCTGACACAGAAATATGGTAGGAGACCCAGGAGGACCCCACTGCTGACACAGAAATATGGTAGGAGTCCCAGGAGGACCCCACTGCTGACACAGAAATATGGTAGGAGTCCCAGGAGGACCCCACTGCTGACACAGAAATATGGTAGGAGACCCAGGAGGACCTCACTGCTGCTGACACAGAACTATGGTAGGAGTCCCAGGAGGACCCCACTGCTGGCACAGAAACATAAAAAAAGCCAGATTGGAGTTTACCAAAACTTACCCGAGGAAGGCAAAATCCTTTTGGGAAAAAGCCCCCAGAAATGGTTTCAGACAAAGCGCTGGCGAGGACTGAACTGGCCAGCAATGGGTCCAGATCTCAATCCCATAGAGCTCCTGTGGAGAGATCTCAGAACAGCAGTTGGGAAAAGGAACCCTTCCAATATGAGAGACCTGGAGCAGTTGGAGAAAGAAGATTGGTCCAAAATTCCAGTAGAGAGTTGGAAGAAACTCATTGATGGTTACAGGAATCCATTGATTTTAATACTTTTTTTCCAAGGGGTGTGCTGCCAAATTGAGGGTGCCATTAATTTTGTCCAGTCCATTATTGGTGGGTTTGCGCGCAATGTGTCAGATTTGGCTTTTTGTTTCTCCGCTTTTTTTGTGTCATATCAGTACAAACAAAAGAAATAAACACGAGAATGCCGAGACATTTGTAATTGCAACAATTTCCTGCGTGTTAGTAATATGTGAATAGTTTATACTGAGAAGGACACATTTTTATTGAGAAGACTCAACACGTCTTTAAAAAAGCTACCTTGAGGTGTTTACTCTCCAAATGTGCTCATTTTGTGCTTGTTTCTATTGCCTTGGCACTTCAAGTCCTCCAAACGCATGATAGGTAGTCACGAAATTAGATACCTAATTATTGCCAATTGAAATCTTGAAGGTGCTCATTGGGCCCATAATGCAGCTAGGCTGTAAAAAAAAGTCTCACACGTGGTATCTCCATAATCAGGAGGAGCAGCAGATTGTGTTTTGGGGTGTAATTCCATGTATGTCCCTTACCACATGTTAGGAATATCATATTAATTAAAAGCTGTGTGTAAAAAAATATATAATTTTATTTTCCAAAAACTTGTGGCAAAAAACGTGACCTTCAAAAGACTCACCATGCCTCTAACTAAATATGCTGGAGGGTCTAATTTGCAAAATGGAGTCATTTGTGCATGTTCCTGGTGCTCCAAGGCCTCAAAAAAATGTGCTAGGTAGTGAGGAAATCAGATAAATTATTTATTCCCCTTGAAAGACCGAAGGTGCTCTTTGGATTTTGGGCCTCTCTATGGATCTAAGCAGCGAAAAAGGTCTCACATGTGGTATCCCCATACTTGGGAAGAGAAGCAGAATGCGTTTTGGGGTGTAATTCTAAGGATGCCCATGCTTTTTGTGATTAATAATGTGAGAAAAAAAAAAAATTTTAATCACTTTTTTCAGTTTCCAAAAACTGTGCAAACTAATTACAACTTCAAAAAACTCACCATTCCTCCTACTAAATACCTTGGACTGTCTACTTACCATTTTTTGGGAGAGGTATTTGTACTGTCCTGCCATTTTAGGGCTTCATGAAATGAGATAATCTGTACATCAGGACTGACCAATTTTCATGTATTTATTCCATAGTTTGTGGACAGATTAAATCATTTACACTGATCTGTTTATTTTTATAGCAGTTTAGATGAAAAAATCAGACATTGGCGCAGGCTGGGTTTGGAAAGGGTTAATGCAGTTCTGGCTTTTTCTGGGCTCTGCCTCTTGCCCTGTGCTGTAAATAAAAGGGGGGAGGGCTCTGCGCAGAGCTGAGCTGCTGCATGGGAAGAAGACATAGGCAAGCCAGACGTCATCTCCAGCTATTTCACAGAGTTCCCTGGGCGTTCTTGAGGGAAGGTCTAAAAGGAAAAGCTGCTTGCCATGTAGAGGGATTACTGGGACTTGCAGTCCACTCTGAAGACAATGACTTGTCTGGACACCGGCATCATGGACATTGCCACACCCCGCAAAAAATAAAACTTCATCTGTAGTTCAACTTCAACCTTCCTAGCACACATCCTCTTTCCCCTCAAATTTTCCACCCTAGCAAAAATCCTCTCCCCCCTCCCTCAGTATCAGTTCCACCAATTCCACCTCTTAGCACAACACCCTACAAATTACCCTTTCCAGCACAAATCCCCCCTCCCCATCCAAATCCCCCTGCTAGCACAAATTCCCCCCTATCCTACTAGCACAATTTTCCCCTTCCAATGCCCCTCCTAGCATAATCCCCCCCAATCCCCCCTTCTAACACAAATCCCCCCCACAATCCCCCCTCCTAACACAAATCCCCCTCTCCTAGCTCAAATTCCCCACAAATCCCCCTTCTAGCATAATCCCCCCTCCTATCACAAATCCCCCCCCAATCCCCCTCTCCTAGCACAAATCCCCCCCAAATCCCCCCTTCTAGCATAATCCCCCCAATCCCCCCTCCTAACACAAATCCCCCCCAACCCCCCTCTCCTAGCACAAATTCCCCCCAAATCCCCCCTGCTAGCATAATTCCCCCAATCCCCCCTCCTAACACAAATCCCCCCAATCCCCTCTCCTAGCACAAATCCCCCCTTCTAGCATAATCCCCCCAATCCCCCCTCCTAACACAAATCCCCCCCAATCTCCCTCTCCTAACACAAATTCCTGCCAAATCCCCCCTTCTAGCATAATCCCCAGCCCCAATCCCCCCTCCTAACAAAAGCCCCCCTCCTAACAAAATCCCCCCCCTAACACAATCCTCCCCAATCCCTCTCTCCTAGCACAAATTCCTCCCATATGCCCCCTTCTAGCTCAACCCCGCAATCCCCCCTCCTAGGACAAATCCCCCAATCCCCTCTCCTAATACAAATTCCCCCCAAATCCCCCCTCCTAACACAAATCCCCCCCAATTCCTTCTCCTAGCACAATTCTCCCCCCCCAGCACCATTCCTCTTTTTTCAATCCCCCACCTAGGACGAATTCCCCCAAATCCCTCCTCTAGCTAAAACTCCTCAAAATTACCCTTCCCAGCATAAAAACCTCCCACTTTACCCAAATCCCCCCCCCCCCCCCCCCCCCCCCCCACACCTTTTAGCACAAATCAGCTTCCAGGCACAGCGTCCATGGAAAAACTGAAAAACTGGCCTGGGAAGGGGGGGGGGGCAACTGAAATTATGGGAGGGCATAGCCCACCGC